TGATTTCACCGAAGCTTTATAAAGGCGCTTCTCTATGAATCCATTCGTCGCCCGGATTCCATCGCTGAAGAAACTGACATCCGAACAAGGGTACACACCCCAAGTTTTGAATTCTCGAATTTTCTCATAAAATTAATTCATCTTATTGTACAACAGGAGCCTAAAGTCGATGCGTACATTGGATGACAATCAAGGACATCACCCCCCAGGAATTAAGCTGCTTTTCCAAGGATGAATCCTGTGAGAAAATCCATATTGCAATTGGCTGCACTGCCCGTAACACGGTTTTCGAGTAGATCACCTAATGCGATCAAACTTTGATGACACACAGGTTGCTGCTTGAGCTTGCCGAGGTGCTGATGAAGAGGCTTACAGGATAGTTTCTACCTTGAAGAGGAATAGCTGAAAATGATTATACACACGAGGGCTACCAAGTGGATGGATGTTGAACACGAGCCTCCTGTGTATTTCGAGATTGCAGATGAACTCTGAACGAACGCGTGGAGTATAATCAATGGGAATCGTGGCTTGAGCTCACAATAATAATAACGTTTCCGCTAATTGGCGGTATCAGCCAAGTTGGTGGCTCCTTTCGTTCAGGAGACTCCTTTTGCTTTTTCAAGCCTTTGAGTACTCTGATTACATTTAAAGGGGATATAGTTCCAACCGTTAAGACCACGTCTGGTACTTTCCCCTTGCTCTCTCTCTCTCTCCCGTCTGGTACCTCTCTGAAGTAGCTGCAAGAAGATGAAACAAGAAGCTGTAAAACACAGCGAGCAAGCTTCAAAAGACGAAAACGGAAAAGCTAAGGGATCGTGTAGCATCTCGTTAACGGAGTTAAGTCATGGCGTTGCGATGGGCACGAAAGTCGAGACGTCCATGGAAGGGAGAAAGCACGAGGTACCTTAAAAACCAGACCTCACACCTGGGCGCTAACGATTTATTTACAAGTAAATATGATTTATCGATTGAATGTAAATAATCGGCTGATTGGTCGTAGCCCGAAGTAGAAGCCGGAGGTTCCTATTTACAGAATCCCTTGGGCTGCTCACCTGTAAGCATCCCTTGGCAAGCGAGGGGAAGTTTTCTTGGAAAATTTAATTCCCTCCGATCGCGACCTCAGAGGTCTCAGGACCTGTAACAGGGTTGTCAACAAGACCTTAAACAACAGCCAGTACCTTCGAGTAATACAGTTCTATCCTTTCCTTAAATACTTACCCCTTACATTTTCACCCTTCAGCCTCCGTCGAGTCTCTGTTCCCTGGCAACCTGGTCTGCAAGAAATTTCAATCAATGGCCATCCTTCTCACCTCATCCGGCCCTGGAACTGCTTGATACCAGGTCGTGTCTGTAAACAATTCTCAACTTCAGACCATCAACTACAGAGGAGTGGATGGTTCTTCTCGATGGGCTTCCGAATTCAATTGGCGCAGCCGTTACACTGTGACGTAGTGATTGTATCCAGTGGCGTCTCAATAAGGCGAGAGACACCCTTGACAAACCGACCGACAGTGAGTGTGGGTCGATCCAACAGGCAGTTTCCAGTTAATTATTTATTCCGTACAGTCTCGTCGCATTCTTCTCTCTCACTCGGTTTCTCAATTATTTTCATCTCCCTTGTCTCTCGTTACTGTTTTTCTTCTTTCTCTACTCCCTTGGGTCTAAAAGTTCGTTCACCCTCCCGAGGTCCAAGTGCAGAACGCTCGGATCAGGCTGATATATGTATATATCTTCTTTTCCCCAAATTCTTATCGGCTCTCCTCAGCATCCGTGTATCTTTCTAGAATCCTATCTCTCTGAAACGCTGGACCAAACTAAGCTGCAGTTTAATCAGAAGTGGATAGTTACATACTGAGCTCTGGCCTCTCCTGGATCTAGTTAGATACATATATATCATGAATAGAGAGAGAGAGAGAGAGAGAGAGAGAGAAGCAGACATCTACAGACAAGGAGAGTCCAGAGGTGAAGAGAAATCACGAAGGATTTCTCAGGATATTCGACCGGAAGCTTCTAACTACCTTGAAAGTTCACGAGAGCCACTTCCACCTTCGTAATTTCAGTCTTGAATCGGATTCAACGGTTCGCCAATACGCGGCTGTTTGCTGGGTTCACCGAAACTTCTATCAGAGTGGTAAGACACTGGAGGTATGGAGAAATTACGTCAAGGCTAAACAGTAGAACCGATACGGATTAAGCTGAGGTCTGGTAGATACTGGATACTCCCACTTTGCGTTACTTGATACCAATCGTAGCATAACTTGTGAATCGCTGGAGATAACGGGAGGATTGGCTATCAGGCTGATCTACGTTAACATTACCTTATCTATGGACGCAGGAACGTTCCTGGAAATTCGTAATCAGCAATGCAGTATGCTAAGAGACTGTTATGTATGAGGTGGTAAAAATTGTCCTTTGGTTTTCTTATGGGTGCTTTACAGGGACGCTGTAATTATTTTATTGAACCAGAGAGCGTCTGGAGTCTGGTTCTTAAGAGGTTTCATATTATTTCAAATATTAAATTGTGACTGAGTGAAATATTTTATTGAGATCTGTGAACATTGACCAAGCAAAAAGTTGACAGAATTTAAATGGGTGACGGGGTATTGCTGGGTGACTGGTTGGGGTGCTGACTGGCTGAATTTATATAGCACGGTTATATAGTGCAGTGCACACAGTGTTGTTTATAGAATAGATCGAAGTTATGAAAATAAAAAATAAAAGTCGAATTCTCTTATTGGCTGTAGGGAACATAATTTGATAAAGGGATTGGTGGTAAAATAATTGAACGAGGTAGGTAGCGTCGGCGTCGTGACGCCCTGGGCCGGGGTAAATCTCTTGGATAAATAATTAAAGTCGACCCTGGACTAATTGAAATTCGAACTGGCGTGACTGAACGCTTGGGGGCTCCTATGCTCCCTTTCACGGTATCTGGAATTAGCTTATTTATTCGCACGATTACGTAAACACTTGATGTCATTAACTGATACTCCTTTCTGTGGTGGAATCGAGAAAGGCTGACAGCTTAGTCGAGGAGAATTGGAGGGACGTGGATAAAGGGGATGAGGGTTCTATTCGTACTATTGCTAACGCGATTCTTGTACGCGATAGAGTCACAGAGTTAATGGGGGAGAGAGAGAGAGAGAGAAAATTAGATAAGTTATCTAATATAGGTGTATGTGCAAATATACATATAGCAAAGGATAGCGCTGATGTCAGCCAGATCGCGAATGCTGCCTCCGCCTGCTTCAGATATAATTTATACTTTGATTAATTAGTCAAATCGACGTGAATCCCGGGAACAAGTTCCCCGTCGTATTAGCCTTTGCTTAACGCTTACGAATCAGAAACTTCTTGTCGCCTCGTACCCAGCATG